AGGATATGTAAATGTGATAAATATTATTATAACGTTGCCATTCATAAAATCATAATATTTATCAGTATTATTAATATTTATTTTGTGTTACCTATATTTTATCTAGTGTTAAATCAGAATTTATAAGCCCTACCACACGGTGATGGGAAAATTGTTGTATTTCGTAATATTTTACGGAGTAGGAAATAAAATTTAATAAAATTGCGTCGTTACACGGCATTCTTATAAAGTGTACCTACACGAAAGTATACAAATGCGTGACCTCGGGTTTATTATTGCATTTGAAACATTCTGCGTACAAAAGCAGTGATCCAAACCAATTAAAATCGACGTCGCAGTTCAATTAACAGACCTTAAAAGAAAAAAAATAATATCGAATATGAAACCGCCGTGAACGGAAAAAAAATACAGAAAAATACGTGTCGTAAGTATTAACTATTTGAAACATGATTTGTGACCATCAGCGAATAAACGTTTCCGAAAAACCGTGTAACATGATACGTTAATCAAATTCAGAGGACGCAATTTTACAACCCAGCGACACATGGCTTTACCCTACAACCGTATATTATTATATAAATCGTTCATGTTTTTAACGGATAATGAAGACTTTGTGTTTGATACTAGTGGTTGTTACCACAACCATGATTCGAGCGGTGACCGCTAGCATCAACCGTGGTATCAAGTAATGATAATGTCCCTCCACCACCCTCCGCATTATCTTGCTAGTGCTCCGTCGGCCGGTCCACGCACGTTATTAAAAACGTTGCTGTTGTCTTTTGTACCTCCGCCATTTGCGATCTACAGCTTTTCGCCGTTTGTCTTTCGGTGAATTTTGTTTATGTTCGGTCGGTGCAAATCTGCGGACACGCTTTCAACTTTGTGATTGTTCGGTTCCGACGAAGTTGTTGTCCGTGCCGTTCTTTATTGACGATCGGTCGTCATTTTTTTTACATTTGGCGAGGTCACGTTTTGTTTACTTCGCAGTGGTGGTCTACAAAGGCGGAGCACCTGCATCGACAGTCCAACGGCCTTTCAACCAATTGATGTTGGGTGGCAGTACACCTTGGGATCAGGTCAGGTTTTTAATATATTATATAATGTATACAGTAATGTCTTATGTGTTGTTTGTACCAAAATAGTTATACTGTTTACTATTGGTAATTTATATTGTATTCTTTATGGCGGTCGACCCCTGTAAGATACCTTGTTATGATATAATTTAACGATTTATACAGCCACAACTAAATATTATAGTTTCGATATTTTTTATTATTTATTGGTGCATATTGTCTATCGGCTAATCGGCTTGTCCATCCTACCAAATGTCAAACGAGCATTTGTCCGCCTTAGTAACGCGTGGAGGTACTCGCTTACACTTTTTATTAACCGAGTGCGAAATAAATGACGTTCGGCGTTGTAGTGTATAAATGTTTTTTTTTTTTCAAAATATATTATGATCACCTACAACCGTTCTTTACCGATTTTTCATTAGGTTTGAATACGGCAAATTAATTAAATATGACAATCACAGATCTTTATCACGACCAGGGGCACCCGTAGAGAGGGACCAGTTGATGCCATTTTCACCCACTGGGATTTTTGTAATGAACAAAAAAATCAGTGTATAATATAATAATGTAAATATGTGACTATACCTAGCATTTACTTACAACTTATGTATGCCATAAATTTAATTTTGTAGCCACTGAGACGATTTTCTGAGGGCGTCCTTGATCGCGACTAATATACTTTCGTTTGGGGCACTTAATTATTGTCAAAGGTTTTACAGTGTTTTGTGTTATTTACTCATTTGCCGTTATCAATTTACATATTATATGAAATTGTCAGTTACTATTTCGGTTATCGCCCATATTGGAGCTAGGGATCACCGCTTAAAACAATGATTTCGATAGGAGTTCTCTCAAATCCACTTTTACTGAGATGTGTTTATTCACTATTTTAAATAATTGGTAATTGTCCTTCCTGAAAAAATTCAATGTTTATATATGTACAAAAAAAAGAAAATTACCATAAAATCAATACATTCCTCTTTTTTGTTTTCAAAATCATATAAATTATTAGTCATTATAAGTAGGTACATTATAATCAGTACAATTGTTGTTATTTCTGTTGTATAAGACGTCTACGATGAGCGAGTTTTTCACAATTATAGTATGTTTTTCATTTTCTGGATAATATGCACAGGTATTTGTGAAATTAAAAAATAAGCAGGTTTATGGTACAGACATATTATACAAAAATCTCAAACACGTAAGTAGGAGTAATTTATTCCGATTTCCGAGTGCACGAATTGTGTGTCTAAGAATGCCAATACAATTATTGTATTTATTATTTTCCTTAATGATTTTCAACTCAAAATGTATGCCAGAACTAAATAGTTATAATTATTTTTACCTAATTAATGTCTTATCGATACACTGACGAATGATTACACAATAACATAATATAATATTACCTATGTAAAATCTTTGATTTCCAACATGATAACTGCAAATCGTTATTATACAATTTCTATTTATGATAGATCTCATAGATTAATGCTTATTGTATTAATATTACGTCTTGAGGGGGGAGGGGGGCAGTGACGGCAGGATATAGTATTATTGGAAGCAATTGCTTCATGTCTGAAATGGGTGGGTGGGTGTATAAATATATATATAATCGTAAGACCTCAACACAAATATCATGGCAAATATTAAAATTAATAATTATTAATGGCCCCTACTGCTAATTTGGTTCAATGAAGACTGCGGTGGTAAAATGTTTTAAAATATACAATATGCTTCAAAGCCTCCACGATTTCGTTCCGTTAGTGGAGAGGGGGGGTGAATACAAGCAGGAGAAGCATCAACATGAGTCCGATTATAATAATATTATAATATTACTGCCACGAATTTAGGAAAATATCAAAACTAAATATTATACAACATTAAATAATAATAATTAATAATATTTGGTGCCACTATTAAACATACATATTTAAACATTTGCCGCCCTTTAAAATGTTACAAGCTTTGTCGGCCTATGGCACTTGCCAAATTTGCCACCCCCTAGTACGGCTCTGATGATTAAACAATAACATATAGTGAACCATCATGTCCAATCTCAAAAAATTCAGATATGCGTTTTATATATCAATGGATTCATATTTTCGAGACGCGTAAGACCAAGTGTTCGCTCCGCAAAACCAATTCAAATAGTTCCTTTTCGCGCCGGTGTATTATCGCGGACCGAACAACAGCTGCAGCGGTAGTCTGATTGTCTGGTGAGTGCGCGCGTTGTCCCACCGTCATTGTGTTATCTAACTGATAGCGGGCAACGTGCGCATTCCAACGGTCGCTTTTTCGTATTTTTGTTATTTTTATGCACTTTTAATGTTTTTTCTTCGTTCGTAAGGTTTTGTGTCGCTTTCAGTGCCACCGAAAGTCTTGTATTTTTTCGTATTAAATGTTTAAGGTGGTACTGATAGCATTTTCGTGAATTATGCGTTTTCTCATTGGTTATTCAATAAATTCATTCGTCTTCGTAAAAACTCATAATATTCAATTAAATACATTCGCCTTTTCCGTTTTTTTTTTTTCTTTTCGCCTCTCGAGCTGTTCGGTCCGAGTCAACCCCAGCCAGAGCACATTGCATTCGTTTTTTCTCAATACATACTAAAGAAGCATACATTCATTCAAATATTCAATACAATATCATATTCAATCATTTTGTGTACATCATCTGTGAATTATTTTCTGTAAGTATCGTTCAGTCATTTGCTTTCGTTCATTTCATTAATATTATTCCCCAATTCAGGGCGCACAACGAGGTACTTACAGAAACACGTGAATTTTTTCCATAGTGATTTGCATGTATACAGTGATTTATTCGTTTGAGCTGGTGGCTCGTTAGTCGTACGTTCTCGGGATTGCCACACATTTAATTATTATAATATTGTATTTTTATTGTGTAAGTGTGTGCATCCTGAGACGGTAGCGTTAGGTTCAAAGCCGCTAACGGACACCAGTTCTCCAGGTAAACAGCTGACGAGCTGAATTAAATTATTATTTATTCTGATTTATTATTATTTACTGTATACCATTGATTTATTATTATTTACCATATACCATTGTTCTATTTGTATTTGTTGTATTATTGAAAGCCAAAGGGCTAGATACATGCTATTATATCAGTAATTTAATATTTGGGTTGTCTATATTTTTTTTAATACCTTTATCATTTATTTAAGGTCGTTGGTTAATATTTATATTTTACCAACGCCTTGTCGTGAAGGCATCCTTAGCTCCATTATATACATTTTAGTTCTGTTAAGAGCTGAACGCGACACCAAGTGATTAGTTTTGATGTTTGACCGTTAGGTTCGCTGTGAAAATTCATAATGTCATCTTGGCCCATCTAATATCGTTTGTTATTACTGGTATCATGGTCTTTCTAACATTTTTTAAAATTGTTATCAGTGGTATCATGGCCAATCTAAAAATGTCCGAACTTCCACTAATAATAGAGAGCCGTCAGCAGCCAACAACTCGATGAAATTAGTATTACTAATATTATTATTATTATTATTGACAATAAGATGAAACGTTTTAGAGTTAATTAATGTCAAAAGCTATACGAACATTCAAAATTCCTAACAAAAAAAACCAGTTTTTTGTTCACCCTGAAAGTTGGGAAAACTGAGATTGGCCATGATGGTTCTTATGCGACGATATATTACCTATGTAAAATCTTTGATTTCCGACATTATAACTGCAGATCGTTATTATAGAACTTCTATTTATGGTATTAATATTACGTTTCGAGGGGGGGGGGGGGTAAATACAAGCAGGAGAAGCATCAACATGAGTCCGATTATAATAATATTATAATATTACTGCCACGAGTTTAGGAAAATATCAAAACTAAAAATTATACAACATCAAATAATAATAATAATAATTGTCATAATATTAATAATATCGTTGTAAACACGGTCATTTCAAACGGCGGTTTGTCGTGGCGGCGGTGGGCGTCGGTACGGGTGGCGTGGCGTTCGTTTCATCCAGATGGCGGGCGCAGACGTCGGAGCGCCGCGAGCAGATCGGCCGACTTGCTCGGACGTCGTTGACGGTAGTTCGTCTCCGAACACGTGTGCGGACGGTCCTTCTCCCCGCCGGGCCGCCTCGTCGTACGCGCACGCCGCCACCGCGTTTTCCTTTTTCACCGCCGCCGCCGATGAGTTTTCCCGCGACCATGCCCGGCGGTTTTCCGGCGGTCGCCGCCGTCATTCTGTCCACGTTGGCCGCACTTGAGCTGTTGGCCGCCGCCGTAGGTGAGTGTCACACTTTTCTGGTTTTATTATTCGTTTTTCATACATATTTGAGATTTTTTTCACGTCGAGGTTTTCTTTCACGCGATCGTAGTCATATTGGAAGTCGTCCAAAAATTAAGTCGTCGTCGACGGACGGCGAAGAGGGGAAGGGATAAACACTAACGTCGTTTTTTTGTCCGGCTCGAATACGGCAAAAAAAAAAAAAAAAAATATCTGATTTTCTACGTCGTCAAAAGTATTTTTTGTCTTTAAAAATATTCAGCGTAAAAAACCTATTTAAAAACCCCGATCCAGTAAAAATATAGAAGTCCGCTCTTGCACCCAAAATTGAGGAATTTAATTATAAAATATGTATACACTTTTCAACAATAAAAAAGACGTTTTTCATTATTTATATAGATGTCCGACGATACCATTCACACCCATACGAACAAGACATTGTTATTATTATTATTATTATTATCAACGTAAAACACGAATAAAAATTACAAATTTATCTCTTCTTCTATTTTCGAAGATCTTTTTGTGTTAAAATAAAATGTCCATATTATTATAAATTACTGATGTACGTGATACTATCGTTGTTTCTGTTAAAATAATTTAATTGAAACCCGTAATTTTTAACGTCTGCGAATACTCAGAAACGGTTGTATACGTGTATACCTTCGGATTTTATGTGTTTATTTTTTATTTGGTATAAATTAAAGTGAACGAAATTCACCTTTCTCAGCTGTATTCAATACCTATCGAATTACAAGCCAATAAATTGATTACTAGTACTTAGAAAAGTCCAAAGTGTTAATTAAATTGCGCTGTTTTTATTAATTCGAAACCGTTTTAATTACTATAAAAAATACCCATTGGGTCCATCGTGACTTTCAGTGACATAAAATGTATAAACATTGTGAATTTTATGTACAAAAAATATACAACGTGACTAAAGCCTTGCAATGTTTATACGTCATAATTGCTCAGTTAACGCTTTTATTTATATCACATTAGTTTAATTTACAGCCTTTTAGTACGTCTTCAAATACAATTTCATAAAGAATTCACCTCGTCACTGTTTTATAATTTTTAATTCAACTATTATTTATTACGACTAGTGTTGCACTAATATTTAATAATGTATAAAACAATTAGCCTAGTCTGTTTTCCTGTTAAGTCGGTTTTTTCTAATATATTAATTTTTTTTTTATTCATTCAATGAATTGATAGAATAATAAAATAAAATACAATACCTATAGTTAATAATCATTATTATAATTTATATCACAAAGCAAAATATTTCGGCCTTTTTTAATATTCAATTTATATTATAACATGTTTAATAATTATATAAATTTATTAAAATTGTCAAGAATAATTATGGAGAACTAGTTTTTTTATTTCAATCAAAATATGAAAATTAAATAATGGTATTCATAAATGTAAAATAGTTGTACTATTTTAATAGTATATGAATATTATGTTTATATCGTAATATCAGTAATTTTACAATATTTTATCATTTTAACCTTGTAAATATATTTATTTATATATATTTTACTTTTATTCGATCAAATATATAAATAATATGTTGTTTATTAAAAAAGTTTTTTTAAGGGCAACAATCTGTGCTTATAGTTTATTTGATCATTTCAGGGCGATACCAGGAAGTGTGATTATATTTATTGCAATAAAATATTTAATATTAATCGATAAAGCAAAATTTAATATACTAAGTATAGCGATTAATTAATTTTTTAAAAATGTAATAGTATTTATTTATTTAAACGTGATATATTAAAATAAGATAGTACACATTTTGATTTGTGAATTAAAACAAATTATTGTTAAACCTACACTAATTGAATAAACATGATTTTAAACAGTCATGTTTTAACGACTTTTTTTCAAAACATATTGTAAGCGAAATAAGACAATATTATAGTTTACACTTAATGTAAAAAACGTATACAAACAAATAATTAATACATTATATTGTTAGAAACCAAATAATTAAAATATCGAAAGTATAATATTATTTGTTATTGGAATGGGATTATAAACATCATATCGGCCCTTTATACCTTTATTACAGCAAATACCTACACAATCTGCAGGTGGTCCTGATTAATATACGAATACGTTTTTGTTTACGCTAATATTTTATACACTTCAATATGTTCATTGTGGTAGTCAGCCGCGTGTTAAGTTGATGTTTTTCGGTGGTTTGGTAGTTTACATTAGGTTCTACCGCACCAATTTAAACTTAATATAGTATTATTGCTGTCCAAAGTCTATTTATAAACACTCACTTTAATAATATGTGTGCACTGGATTAGAAAATGGTTGAGCATACAAGTTGTTGGATTATAATACGATTTAGTACAGTGTTTCTACGATTTTTTTTGTTGTTTCAAAATAAAATTAACAGTAGCTAATATTGAAGTTATATATATAATATATATTAATTTATAACATTAATAAAACAATAGGTATGTAATACTAATATAATTTGGTGCTTATACTATTTTTAATCATTTTAATAGAAAAATGATATTTGTAAATTGATAGTTGATACTATGTCCATCAGTTTCTGAAGTACAATTTTTATTTTCGTTATTAAAACAATTTAAAGCATTATGCCATAACTTTTTTTCATCACAAAACATCAAAAATCCAACAAACTACGTGGAATAAAACAACTGACTATATATTTACTATGTCTTAAATAATGTTCAAAGACTTAATAGTTTGTCATGGTGTTTGAATGCTAAATGTTAAAACAATTTGGTTACTAAATTTAACAAAAACAGCAAAATAATGATTGTTTAAGTGAAAACATGACTATACAGTTATATACATATTTCAAGTATTTGAAGTTTTAAAGAAGAGTAAGAATTTGAATTTACTATTATAACGGAAAAACATTAAAATAATGTCTTTATTAAATTTATCGATCTAATGACATCTAATGATCCGTTAACTTTAGTCACTCAATGTATTTTAAATTATTTTCAATATAATGGACAACGGAATTTCATCTGAAGTTCTCATTCAAGAGCTGTTTTTCACTTTGAATCGTATGTTTTTAAATTAGAGCGTAGGTACCACGTTTATTCTGTATTTTGGTAATGGTCTGTAACACAAACGACCATTGAAACGAATTAAACAGGTTCATATAATAAATTAATTATTAGACTAATAATAGTAAACCGAACATGTGTAAGTGTGTGTGTGCGTGTGTTTTGAATATTAATGGTCGAATAGTGGTGATTTTGACGCGATCGGCGTGAAAAATGAATAGAGCGTTTCGAAATGCTATGATAAATCGATAATAATTACAATCGCTGTGGTGCCTATCACGGCGTTTCAAACAATAATAATATCGTTTTATTTGCACCCAATAATAGGACCTAATTGTAGTAGTGGTTATGATGGTACGTTAAGGGCCCGACGAGGCACATAGAACAACGAAATCAGCTGTTAACTCGGCGGCAACATGTCTACGAAAGAGCGTATACCGATAAACACGTACCGATGATTATACCGAAATAACGCATGACCCCCCCCCCCCTTCACTCCATTGTGAGGGGGGCACACCGCCCACGACAACTCGTTTTTACATCCGATTAGGATGTAATATTATCGTCTGGAAAACTTTTTCGAGGCACGCGATTGTCCGTATATTATTAAGACCGTATATTATATAACGTACCGAAATCATAGTAATGGTTTTTTATTTTTTTCCACGTGATCTCACTGAGGTTAAAAATAACGAGTTAGCCGACTCGGTAGGTAGGTAGTGTAATTTTGGCTTCTGCCCGAGAACGACTAAAGTCAATCGTCGCTGGGCGGCGGCGGCGGTGGCGTGTTTATGATTTGAACAGATACGCAGGTGATTAGTACGTAAATATTTTGAGTATGTTTTAATATCGAATCGGTTTCTAGAAATATCACTTACGGCGCTTGTAAACATATTATTATTATTTGAAAAAAATCCTCACAGGCCTCCAAACTTCATAGCGCTGTGTATTTAGAATTTTTTAACGCACGGACCATCGAGGTAACAGTGGTTAGGTACGATAACAAATTATTTATGGCGTTTTTATAAATAATGTATAACGACTAACAAATGTTTAAGACATTCAAACACAAGATATATGTTAATACTTTGGTAGCGTACCAAAAATCTATTATATTATTATATTTTAAAATTGTCTTTGATGATTTTGGGTTATTAGTTATTATGTTTTTTATCTATATAAAAAAAAAACTGAACAAGATGTTAGTTTAATGTATTTTTTTCTTTTTTGGTTACAAATTAAATTTCTTGAGAAATTCGAGAAAGAATAGTATCTTTTAAAAAGAGTAAAATGTACATTATTTCCTGATTACACCAATGCATAAATATAATACAAAAACGTAATCAATCGATAATATTTTATTCTTTTTCTATATTTTTAGTTTTATTTAGAATTATTTAATCTCATCAGAAGTATAGAAAACAATTCCGTTTAAAAAATTATTACAGAATTCTCAGTTTCTACGCAAAGAGCATTCAGTCGATGTTTGTGCTTAGCTTGTACCTACTTCTTTCCTTCCTAAATAGTTCATCTTACCAATCAATCAAGATGAGTATACCTAATATACATTAATATATTATTATCCTTATATTAATCAATATTCTGCTGATTAAAAGTGAAACTAAAATCAACATTCTGGTACAACGGAAAGTTCGATGTAATCATATCTTGTTTAATTATAATTAAGTATTATTAAGATATGGTGGAGGTCCAGCAGTCGAAACCCCACCCGTCGATATTTGATCAAATAGAAGAAGGCTGGGTCCCCTCACCTATGTCTTCTAATCAGTCGGATACTACATAATAAAAATATTCCTAAGGTTTCATCGATCATTGTGTGAGGAAATCGGTCAATTAATAAACCCAATAAAGATTCACACTGGCA